TAAATAATCTCTACAATTTAAAAAAATTAAGTACAAATTCTTTTGATTTTGTTTCTCTATCTCTATCAGATATTATTTGAAAAAACTTAAGTTATGAAGAGAAGAAGAAATTAAAATCATGTTTCTACTCTATTTTCCAGTTTCCTTCTCTTCTATTTTCTAAAGTTTTCAAATGCTGCCACTTCTCGTTTAATACAAGGCAAAATTTTATTACTGGTTTCTGATTACAAGTAAATTTAATATCAGACTAAGGTGTTGCTTCTACTTCCTCATGTAGAAAAAACAAAAAGCTGCATTACAAACGTGCAAAAAACCTTGGATATAAATACTGATCTTAAAGAAATGGTATCTGTGTTGGTATTGCCTTTTTAGATATTGCAAAAGCTTTTGACTTGGTTGCGCATAGAATACTAATTCTTAAATTGGAGTTAATTGGTATAAAGGGGTTATTACTTAATTGGTGTGTGTTGTTTTTAAATAACAGAAAACAAAGAGTAGTTCTAGGGAAATATGCATCATATAGGAAACTCTATAAAGTGGAATACCGCAAGGGTCAGTTCTTGGTCCTTTACTTTTTATAATTTTTATCAATGACTAGCACAGGGTTTAAATAACAATGCTAAATTATATGCAGATGACATAAAAGTGATATCAAAAATAGATAAAAATTCGCATAATAATTCTCTTTATGATGACTCGGATCGCCGCTTCGAGCGGCAATCCGAGTCATCATTTTTAAGTGGCAATTTTTAAGTGGCAATTCTTTAAACAGCTTGATATTTCGACGAATTTTAAATTTAATTATTCCATCGTAATCGTTATATTTTCTTGTAACATCAGGATTGGAACAAGATTCTTCGTTTTCATGCTAAGTTTATAAAAGTTGCCTTTATAGCATGTCGATTATCAAAGATTTTAAGTCCTTGAGTTATCCAGCTGATTTTAATATCTTCAAAATAAGGCAAAACTGCAAAAAGAATATTATCTACAGTTGTTAAACGAGCTTTTTCAGCTTTGCCGTATACTTTCAGCTTTGTTACATGTTTAAAATATGTTAAGCAGCAAATCTTTGCTGTATATTTTTTGCTATTTCTGGAACAGCTTTGATTGAAATTTTTTTTATTGTTGTGGCTTAAGGTGGTATCCAGCCATTATTTTGGTGAAAAAATGAAAAGAAAAAGGAAAAACTTGAAAAAAATTAAATTTAGAAAATTGAACCTAGTAGAATTCAATAGTAAAAATATCTTTTTCAAAATATCTTCAGAATATTTCAATTTTATTCTTTTTAAACATATGATTTATGTGCGTAGTCATAATTTTAAAACTGATTTTTCTCAGTTTTTGTTTTTTTTTATGAGTAGCTGTGGGAAAACAATAATATCTCAATAGAAAAACATTATTTTAGCTTCAAATTTTTAGGATATGCACATTATTAATGTGTTTAGTGCCTGAACCTAAAACAAAAATAAAAAAAATTAAGCTTAACCTACAATTACCATATCAAATAAGTGTTTTATCGCTAAAAATAGTTTTTTATATTATCAAGTCTGCCATTTTTGATCGCTAACAACTTTTGAAAAATTCTTGGTTCAGGCACAAGCTACACTGATATACTAGCATTTTGCAAAATTTCAACCTTTAATATTGATGTAATCTTCAGTTATTTATGTTTTTGGGACGTTAACTTTTGCGCCTTTTTTTGCTGAGTCAGCAATTTTTTTTTTTCAAATTAAAAAAATATTTGCAATATGTTTTCGATTTTTATATATTGTTCTAGTAATTCATAAAATGTATTTATTATGTGCAAAATATAAGAAAATAAAAATAATGGCTGGGTACCACCTCAAATAGTATTCACAAAAATAAGAACGATTTTTTTCCATACGTTTTTTACAATTCGCGGTACTGCTGCATTATTTGATACCATTTCTCACCGATACCGGAAAAGTAAAAAGCATTTATGGCGTTTCTCAAAAAAAAAATAATTATATTGTAAATATAACAACAAAATATAAATAAAAATAATTATAACCATGTTAAAGGTTTGAAACAAAAAAATCGGTCAATCGTTTGTTAATTTATCAATTAACCATCAATTTTTATTAATTATTTAATCGTTTATCGTTTACCACTTCTTCTTACATACTTTAGAAGGCCTAGAGTTAATTTGCTGCATTAAATATATTTTATATTTTATAACAAATTTTAAATTACCTACATCAATTCTTTTTAGTTCTCCAGTCCATTGACAACTTTTTAAGAAGTTATTACATTTAACTTTTAATTGCAGAACGGCTCTTTCAATAGCTTTATCGCGAAAAGTCTAAAGGAAAATTTTTATTTCAATTTTTAATAAGAAACTTTTATAAACAAATAAATTTATCTATTTTTTATTATTGTTATTTTTTTTTTTGTCGTTTACATATATAAATACAATAGATTTACCTGCTCAGGCTTTAAATTAGTATTGTCTAATGGGCAAACTAAAACTCCATTTTTTCTAAAATAAAAAAACTTGCTATTTGTAAAGGTAAGTTTTATTTATAGGTAATAAAAACAATAACTGTTTAAAAACGATGTTTTTGATTCTTGAATTTTGTTTAATATAATTAACTTATTTCAAATATTGTTTTTTGTGATCTATTTTGTTTCAGTTTGTTTAGTTCTGTTGATAAATTATAATTTATGACAAGTTTTACATTTTTTGGACATATTTTAGTTATTTATGTGTCTATTTTGCAGAAATAATGCATTCTGAATTGATTATTATTATTATTGTTATTACTTTATTCATTCCTAATTTATTATGAGATTCAGTGATTATATAGCTAACATGTTTTATTTATATTTGAATATATATATATATATATATATATATATATATATATACTAATGTTAATTAAAATATTAGTAGAATATTAAGGTTAGTAAAATTATTATATTAAATATTAAGGTTAGTAAAATATTTAGGTTGGTAAAATTAAATGTAAAATAGAAGTTAACATTTTTTAATTATTTTTTCCGATACATCCACGAAACATCTTACAATAATTTCAAACGGAATTAAATGAGAATTTAGCTGCTGCAGATATTCTAGTTTTATTGTCGTCAGCAGAGTTATGCGTTTACAACCAAGCTCAAATATATTTTTCGGGATCAAACATATCTTATGGTCGCCCATGCATTTTAAGAAATAATAAATTGTTAACTTTTCAATCAAGCATCGGTTTCTGCTGTCGTTCAGAACTAGATTCATGTTGCTTAAACCTCTTTCATACTCAGAAGAGCTGAGTCTTGGTTTTGAATATGTTAGCAACTACTTTATGTAGTCTCAAGGTTTGTTTTTTCCTCCACCATTTAAGTAGCGCCTAAACTCGTTATTAACTTTTTGGACGACAATTTAAATTTCATAGAGAAGGAAATATCATTCTATAGTTTCTAATCAGCCGATCTATAGTTTCCGAAATTCGAAATTTTTATATGATATTTGATTTAAACAACTTACAACATGTGATTAGTCTGTGACTAATACTTTTAACACTTTTTACTTTGTAAAAACAAGTTTCAACTAAAGCCATATATTTTACTGTTACTTTTAATAGTAGTTATTTTATTGCCCTTTTCAATATTTTTCTAGGGACCTAGAGGTTCGACGAAATTTTTTGTCTGCATGGATAATTGTAGTACATCGGTTTTATGATCGTTCTGATAATAATAATAACTCATAATGGACGCCGTACATCAGCGTTAAATTTAATAAAAATGTTTCAGACAAAATATGTTTATATGAACCAAGATTCAACAATACTCTGTTATTGTGCTACTATTATCATTACTGGCTTGTTGGAAATGTGCACACAAAGTTTCAAAACTTTGATTAACTTAAGCCTCTATTTTAACTTGTCTTCCCACCCAAGTGACACTTAGCACTAGACCAGTTCTTCTTATTTCAGTTAAAATTTTTGCGCATAACTCCGATTTTCTTTGATTTTTGGGAGATTGCTAAAAAAGTGCATACAATTTATCCAAAGGAATTTGAAAATTGTTAATACCATTTATTTCATCTCCAGGCAGTGATTTATATCATGTCGTTTATAAGGGTTTTGATAACTCTTTAATTATCATGTAGCGAATTTAGAATTTTACACTACATTAAGGCTGGTTCCTACACTAATAAATGAGGTTATGTGCTAAACATTTGTCCTCAAACCGTAACATTCAAGGCATTTCAATAGACAGTTTGTTATGACACTTGCTGTTTGGTTCTTAAACTTGATGAAATCCAATAAAAGATCTTGTGGATGCTTTATTTTAATAGTCTCACATTTAAAAAATTAAAAAAAAAACTTTTTGCATTGATTTTTTACTCAACTTTGTGAAATCGACTCTAAAAGCTGATATTTTGCCATTATTTTGAATAATTGTTTTACAGATCTTTAACTTTATAATATTAATTTATAGTATTATAACAATTTATTCCTAAATTCAAAACCTGGAGCAATAACTGAGCTTTTATTTTATGAAGTTGTAATAAATCAAATATGGACTATCGATGAATATGGACAGTCGATGCAACAGCACTCTGTTGCGAGTCAGGCTATAAGATAGTCGATGCGGCCGTGGCGTTGTTGTTAAATATATATATATGTATATTATATATAATTAATATATATATATACACATATATATATATATATATATATATATATATATATATATATATATATATATATATATATATATAATGATATATATATATATATATATATATATATATATATATATATATATATATATATATATATATATATATATATATATATATATATATATATATATAATGATATATATATATATATATATATATATATATATATATATATACATATATATATATATATATATATATATATTTATATATATATATATATATATATATATATATATATATATATATATATATATATATATATATATATATATATATATATATATATATATATATATACTTGATTTAATATTTGACGAATTACATGAACGTTAAGTATGAGAAATTAAATAGTTTTTACATCTATCAGCCTAGCGCATGTCACAATCCAAAGTTTATGGCCTATGCAATATACTTTCAGATGCTTAATATGACATTAGGGTATCCCGATTTAAATTTTTTTTTTCAATTTGTCATATATATGTCAGTCGATGTAGCAGCACTCCGTTGCGAGTCAGGCTATTTGTTAGTCGATGTAGCAGCACTCCGTTGCAAGTCAGGCTATTTGTCAGTCGATGTAGCAGCACTCCGTTGCGAGTCAGGCTATAAGATAGTCGATGTAGCAACATTTACGCATGTTTTAAAAATGTTTTTTATTAAATCAATAACAAAAACACCACTAATTAAAAAAAACTTTCTAGTCGTTATAATTGCGGTTTTTTGAAAATTTTTTAAAAAACAATTAAATTCAATGTACTTCCGCATAAATTAATTGCTTTGACATTTCGATGACAATCAAAAACAGCTTAAGAGACGAGGTAATTAAAATTGTAGTCGTAAGAGACTTTTTTTACATTAAAACGCTCTTTCGACTACACTATATGGGTATATATATATATATATATATATATATATATATATATATATATATATATATATATATATATATATATATATATATATATATATATACCCTTATTTATTATTTTGTCCACCATTGGTTAAACACAAGCCTTTCCTTGGACCTTTCATCTACTCTCCAGTCAAAGTTCTGTTATGATGTGTGCTTCAAGCATATATCTTCTGCAATGAAACCATATAAGTGGAATATGATTAATATCAAAAACAGCAACAATAAAAAGAAATATATTTACCAGAAATATTGATGTTATGAGCATGTTATAAATTACAAATAATATATGTACAGACTACATTCTGTATTGTTGACTCTTATATTGTCTCGATAATTCAAGGAGAGCAACCATAATCAAAGCAAAAACAAAACAAATACTCTAATACACATACAGAAGGTTGCTATTAGTCAAAATTGATATTTGTTTTACCTTAAATATATTGTATGGTGATAAATCTTTTATTACCAACGATACCATTGTTGTTTTTATTTATTTTGATGTAACAAGTAACATTTTAGTTAAGGAACTGTTTTAATTTTTTGATTGCAGTCTACTAATTTTTGAATTATCTATCTAATTTTTAATTGCAGTCTATTTCAGAGTTTTTAAAGGAATGTTTACAGTAGGATTTTGTATTATATGTTTGCACACTCAATGTACCTCAGCAAGAGTTTCTTGTTTGTTAACGGCTAATTGTACTGCGAAAGTTACTCCCTATTGAACATAGCATGTAGCTTTTTGTTTAGGCAGCTGTAAATAAATAAATAATATTCAGTTTTCACTATGTTATGTACTTTTAAAATTTGTAATGTCTTAAAAGATGCAAATATATCGAAATTTTTTGCAAAAAAATCAATTACCCTGACTTCTTTTTTCTGCGTGATAAATAGACATTTCACAATACTTGTGTTTAAACTCTATGATAAAAAACAATACGTGAGAAGTAAGTGAAAGAAAACATAGTAAATAAATTTTAAAGTTTTTTGTTGTGTGAAAGGTCTAAGCTTTTGTTGTGTAAAATGTCTAAGCTTTTATTGTATGAAAGGTTTAAGATTTGACGGAATGGCAATTTTTTTTTTGTGGCAGATATATTATAATAGTTTTAAACAAAGAAATCATGATCATCAAGTTATTAGGTTTAAAGATAATTATGGGGTATTGCCACGAGATCGTTATCTTTTTTGCTATCCTTTGTAGACTAGTTTTGAAGCATCCCTACACAAAAACAAATAGTAATCTGCAAGCATAGCCTCATTCTAACAACCCTAATATCTTTGTAACATTACAGAAATAACTTGGTGAAACCTTTACCCGTGTTCATCACTAACAGCTCCACAGTAGGGTGGGTGGGAGGGGGGTATGGTGAAAAAGACTAGGTTTACGTAGAGGAAATGAATCTTGAAGGACATGTTAAATCCAAGTTGATGGTATTTTTGCAGAAGTTTGTTACCAATTGAATATAGTTAGCATCTCTTTTGTTGCCTTAAAATCCACAAATCACTTCTTCCAAGTTTCCTTTTCTTGCCCCTTCAAAACTTCGTCAAAGGCAGGATCCTTTATAAGCTGACGTATTTGCGGTCAAACAAAAATACCCTCTTTAACTTTTGCATCACTTATTTTTGTAAATTTGTTTCTTAAATACATAAAAGTCCTTCTTTGTTCATACCTTTGACAAAATTTTTCATTAAACCCAACTTAGTATGTAGTGGTGGAAGAAGAACATTTTTTGGATCAACAAGTGGTTCAGCAATAACATTTTTTCTTCTGTGTTGAGGTTTGTTGCAGGCCAGTATTCTTTTATATAATGTGAACTTATGTCTCGACTGTCCCACATACACAAAAAGCAGCAGTATTTTGTATACCCTAATTGCATTTCTA